TCCTTCCTTCCTTCCTTCCTTCCTTCCTTCCTTCCTTCCTTCCTTCCCTCCTCCCTCCCTCCCTTCCTTTCTTCCTTCTTTCTTTTTACTTTTACTTTTAAAAAAGAAGCCAGAAAGAGCTATGTTCATAGTACATCAGACACATGGACTTTGAACGTTTTGACGTGTACACTAATCCAACACAACTCTATCCAGTACTGTAGGGGACCAACTACAGCAGTGCTGTGGTGAATTGTAGGTGACTATTTCTGTCACTCTGCTTTATTTTCAGCTTGATAATATTACTGCTGCTAGTGAGCTACTGCAAAGTCAAAGAAAAGATTCTCTGGAGGATTGATATGATTCCCTATCACCAGTATATATATATGCCACATTCAGTGGCTGTTCTGCTGAGCAGTTTAGTTGGTACTGTACCACAAGAACATTCTCAGAAGTTTCTGTAAGGCTCTCCAGAGCCAGATGCCACCAAGCTCCATGTGCAATGACATACCTCACACCAGGTGGCTAGGGATGCTCCGTGTGAATGGACACAATTATCTTACTGCCAGAGAAACATGACTCAAGCATCTATGTCCTTGACACAAATACTGATGAATGGTACATTATAAATTTTCATTAGAAAAGTTGCCTATGGGCTGGAGAGATGGCTCAGAGGTTAAGAGAACTGTCTGCTCTTCCAGAGGTCCTGAGTTCAATTCCCAGCAACCACATGGTGGCTTACAACCATCTATAATGAGGGCTAGTGCCCTCTTCTGGTATGCAAGCATACATTCAGGCAGAACACTGTATACATAATAAATAAATAAATCTTTTTAAAAAAATTGTGCTCTTTCACACAAGCACCTTGATACATCATAGACACAATAAATTAAAAAAAAAAAAAAAGAAAAGAAAAGTTGCCTATAACACACCTTCAGAAAAGAGAACATAGACGGTAGTAAGAGCCAACTTGGGGATTTTGCTGTCCCCAGCACAAAGTTTTTTGATGTAGCCACTGGTACTCAAAATGTCTCTGCTTTGTGAAGATTTACCCAGTAATTTCAGAAATCTATTTGGCAGAGATAAGTAAATTGAATTTGGAAATTGACGCGAGATTAACGTTGCTGGAAATGAGCCATTTTTCTATTTCTTATCATGCCTTGGTTTTTAAAGGGATTTGGGAAACAACATACAGGTCCCTCAGCATGAATAAAATCTGAGACTCATCTGTTCTGTCACGTGACCTCCACTGAACAGAATCTCCTTTTCATTTTATCTGCTAAATATTTCAGCCACTGGTTAGAGAGTGCCAATTCTTATGTGTACAACACTTATGATTTTATAGATTGCCATGTAAACATTTCTTCAGTTAGAGCCGAGGTGGGAGTCAGAGCAAAAATTATTATCATCATTTCCTGCCTCTGCGGAAAAGAAAATTGGACCTCCATGATACTGGATGAGTTTTGAAGGGTATGCAGCCAGTAGCTGATGGCGCTGAGATTAGAGACTTGTCCCCATAGCCCTACAGCAGTCTTCCCTTTCTTACCTTCACTTGTGCTGTTTAAAAGCATGGCATGGAGGCTCACAGGCAGAGCTGGATTCCGAACAGCTTCTTAGGAGTTTGAATTGGGGAAAAGCAAAATTCATACCATCTTAAAAACGAGGCTCTCTCCAGCTTTAAAACGTCTTAAGGTTTACATTTAAATTGTACTGACTGTGAGGGTAAGGGGTAAGATTAAGCCATAAAGAATTTCACGCTGAAACTTGGGACAAAAATGTCAGGTATCCAGAGCCCTGGAATTACCTGAATTGTTTTGTTGGACACAAAATTGTAAGTTCATTCAGTTTTATCATAGTGCAATGGGATCTTAAAGTAGTTTATGTGCTCAACCCAAACACTGGGATTCTGAATTGAATCCCCAAATTTTGTAAAAATGTGTTATGTATAGTTAACACGGTTTAATGTTTAAGTCTGCAGACTGAGTGTATAGATTACGTAATCAAAACCTAAATTACTTGAGCAGCAAATCTACATAACAAACAGACTGAAACTTTATGTGATTTTTTTTCCCTTTTAGCTTTTTGTGTTTGCTTCCTTCCTTCATTTATTTTACAGCATTCATTGACCTTATAACATTCTCTGGGCCCTCTGTTTGGTACACTGGGAGTCAGTGGTGACAGAATGGCAACATTTCTTTCTTTTACCTGAAGAAATTCACATTGGCAGGGATGAAATCAGTAGCAGGATGAGGATAGCAAGGTGACTGAAGTCCCCTTAATAGTGTCCCTTTCTGGTTAAAGTCTCCCATGTTTGTCCTGGGGTGAGTTTGAGGACATATCTTTACCTATTACAGAAAAGTATCATTCAAGCTAACACAGGTTTTGGTTCATAGCAGACATACATTAAGGATATTTTAGTATTATTGGAGATTTAAAAAAAATTAGTTAAAATTAGGGACTAAAGGTTGGGTGCACTGCCACAATGAAGTATTAACTATATTCTATGAAACGCTAATATGTTTAAAATCACTGGGAAAAAAAATCATAGTGGATGCCTTCTGGTATCCGGAGAGTTTCACTTGTAGATCTCTAACTCTATGCCGGAATTCAAGGATGCCCAAGTCCCTGTGGTAAAATCGTGCTTAGACACAACCTGTGTGATCCTCTTCCTGTGCACTTTGATCAGTAGTTGGGTCCATGGGACTGGCAGTGCATAGGTGTGAATGTGTATTAAAATGTGAAAAAGCTACAGAGCCTTGTCTTGAAATGTACAAGATTGTAATAGTTGTTACAGAATCTCACCATTCTTCAAAGAAGTTGGAACTGATTGGAATAAACGCCCTCTGGAGACTACAATGGGCAAGATGTGCTTGATGACATCACGTAGTTGATGATTTTCTGTGCATTTTATGGGATAATACATTATGCTTTTGTAATGCAAAGTAGCGTTTTATTCTGAATTGCATGAGGCTATTTCTCTTCTTTCATTAATATTAAAATATCGCATTCTTTTGTTAGTAGCATTTCTGGTAGTATAGTAAATTGCAGTTCACATTAGGAGTATCTCTCGAGACACAGCAAGAGAAAGCCAGATGGCTTCTCATCCCAAGACCCTAGACTGGGTAGGCTGCACAGCACTTCACTGAGGGCACCAAGAGGGTTCTCATTCTGTGTAGATGTTCGGAAACACACATGGAGAGCCAGGCCACTGCCACAGCTCAGGGCATTGGCATGGACTCCGTACCGTTAGCTGCAAGGCATGTCCCCTCTTGGGTGTAATTCCCAACCCAGAAAAGGAAAGACAACTGTGCCTAATAAGCTGGCTCCACCGAATGCCAAAGAAAATTTGTCTCATGAAATGGAAATTCTGAAGCTGTTTATGTAATCGTGAGTGAATAAATAGAAAGAGGTCTAAGATAGAGCCAAATGGGGTAGGTGGCCTGTTGTGTTCAGCATTCTCCAGTCCAGAAATATTTACTGTATTTGGTGAAATCCAGGTGTCCTGGGGATTTATGACTTTTTACTAAACAACATAAATATTTGTTTATATGATTTTAGGAAGTGACATGCTTTGATTTAATATTTTTTAAAGGTGTTTTGGTTATTGGATAAACAGCAGAGCCTCAAATTTAGCCATATGAATTATTCTGTACATTTTTGTCACTTTCATTTTCTCAAAAAAAAAATTGAGTTTTAAAAAAATATATAGGTTAATGGAGTAATGGACTTGAGGCTCTAGCTTACATATCTGTGAATTCTTCACATACAATAAATTCACACCTAACCCAGTGATGGCCATTTTCTCCTCAACCCACCGCTTCCCTCTGCTCCTTCCCTCTTTAATCCCCTCCTTCATCTTTCTGTCTCCTGCCTAGGTCATCTTCAGAGTGTCAACGCTGATGCGGCTTCCTCTGTCACCTCATTCCTTCAGGTGGATTCACTCCCTGCTTTTCCCAATAAGGAATGTTGTCATATAGAACCGACTCTCATGATAGCTTTTGGTGTGTTTCCCTTGCAGGATCAATGTGACTCTAGGAAACAAATGGATGACTGAATATCCATATGAAGAGGAAAACCATAAAGGTTGGTTACTCAGTGTGACTGTTGAGTGGGACTCCTGGAAGTCGCTAGAGCATTTCTTTGCCTGAATGAGAGAGAGGTCAGTCAACACAGTCGCCTCATGTAAAGTATAATTGATTTTTCTGTCTCTTTAAATATAAAGATATTTATGAAGAGGCAATTGTCTTTCACTCTTTGTGCAAGCATGCTGTCATTTTTGTGGTGGTAGGGTGGCCATGCCTCATGTATCCTAGGCTGGTCTCAAACTCACTGTGCACTGAGCATGACTGTGAACTGGGGATCCCTCATCTCCCTGGTGCTGAGGGTACAGGAGTGTATCTGGTTCACTTGGTGTTTAGGTTTGAACTCAAAGCTTCGTGCAGTTGAGGCCAGCTTCATACCAACTGAACGAAATATCCGGCCATTAAGCTTGTATTTCATGAATCAAGTTTTTGATGAAGATCAAAAAGGAAAAAAAAAAAGTCATTTTATAATGACGGGTCACTGAGGAAAAAAAAGTCACATTTTTACTTAATATGCAAAAGCTCCTATAAGCATACTGTAAACCTAATACATGACCATTGTCAAATAAAGTTGTCTTTGCCCCTGGAGTATCTTTGACTTTCCAAATACAGATGCAGCCTAGTTGGGAGGTCAAAATCCATGAGTCTCAATAGTAGTCCAGTGCTTGGCATTATTTTGTTTGTGGGGCTTAAATGAGCTTTTCCTAGTAGCTAAAAACTCTAGATAATAATAAGAAAATTAGAACATATTAAATAATCTTCATTTCATAGAGTTTTGGAGAATCAGGAGAGCCAGTACAGGGCTTATGGCTCATTGGTCTTGTGTGGCTGCACAACACCCAGAATTCATTGCACTTCTTCAACTGTCTTTACTCTTTTCACATAAATTTACCTCACAAGGTGTCTTCCCCTGCCAGCCCTTTCTCACAGGTCCTTATAAATGATTTTTCATATTAGATATAACTCTTTAGATTGGCCTTCTTCCATCCTTACTGTTAATCTTTTTCTTTCTACTGTATCTGCAAAATTTTCAGAGAGGGGTTAAGGAGTCAGTAGTGGTAGCCAGGAAATTTATGGGAGAATTGACAATATTTTTTTTTCATATCCTCACTATTGCTGCTGTGGGCACATTTGCTTGTTGAGGGCGAGCAGTGCCCATGTGACTTCTTGGGACATGCCAGTCAGTTGGCTTTCTGTGAAAGGGGATAGAGGTATGGATCCTTCCTCCCTCCCTCCCTCCCTCCCTCCCTCCCTCCCTCCCTCCCTCCCTCCCTCCCTCCTTCCCTCCCTCCCTTCCTTCCTCCCTTCCTTCCTTCCTTTCTCTCTTTCTCTCTTTCTCAGTGTAAATGTTCCTACTGTGATTGGCTTTAGTAGTTTACCAGCTGGGTTATAAGATTCCCTAAGATTTAACATTTGCCTTTAATGAGCTGTTGAGGAGTGGAGTCTAGCACATCATTAATAATTCCATTTCTATGCTAATATTAAAAATTATGCCTTGAGACCACTGGGATAAAACTAGTAAATTTACATATTGTTACTTTACCTTACCTGGATGTGTTACTGATATATATATATATATATATATATATATATATATATATATATATATA